AGCGATCACAATAAACGGGCTCTGCCGGGGGTTCCATCAGTAACGTGGTATGTAGAAAGGAACGAGTCAACCTTGAGGACGGTGTTCAGGGTTTTAGCGGAGCAGTTTAGCTTAGCACTGCCATTGTATAATAATAGTGTGTGACCGCGATCGTTTCGTGTAACTCAAATGGTAACGCGAAACCAGATAATCCTTGATAAAGCTTACCACACCCTTTTAAGGTATCGATAACGTTACAGCATCCGGAAACCATAACGTATCGGAGTCACACCTTGCTAGGAATCAGGGCAGGAAGTTTGCGCATTGAGGGGGGGGGGAAATAAGGCTGTTATGCCAATGTCTCTGGCGATTGCTTCTTGCGAGTCGGCGTAATTAGTGAGTCTATAGTATAGACATTAATTTATCCCATAGCAAAAGCTAATCGAAAAGCAGTTCTAGGCCACCCTCGTGGAGAGTCGCTCAACTAGCCAATGTATCAGTGAATCAAGGTAGCACAGCTGAGTGAGCTGGCGCCGCGAGAACTTCTAGTGTATAGGCGGTTATAAAGTAGTATTGTATAGTTAAAACATTTTATCAATTAGTGGACTTACTAGTAGATGCGAAGTTTGCTAGGTGTTTCTGGGAATATTCCAAGCCCTAAGTGAGTTCAGAGAGACAGTGGTCTCGAGAAGAACATTAGATACGGTATTAGGAAAGCTAGACAGAACTACCCGACAAACTACCGATACCGGACTCTACGTAAAAGTATATAGTGTGACAGTAGTTGACCACCTATTGTTGATCAATTCTCATTCAATTGCTGTAACATGATACACCCGTGAGTGACATCTTCGGGCGTATACAAACAGCATCTGTTGTCACTCCTTCGTCTGAAACATGAGACTTGGCGAGTCACATCAACTTGCGAACTACCTATCAGAATACTACATTGTAGCCTAGAAAGTCCCAAAGCACGCCATAATAGTAGAGCTACGATGTCCCGCTGTAGCGCCGTGCAACCAACCGGCCGAACCCAACCCATACGCAGAACGATCGCTAGGTAGAACCATAGAACCAGAAGAACTGTTATGCTACCTTTACACCCAGGTATCCATCTACAACCACCGGACAAGCACTGCGCTAGTGATTGATCCCTTTGGAAGTCTTGATCCGGTTCGGGTAGCTTTGAGCGGAGCGCCACCGTTGTATGGGTACGGTAGGTATTAAGCGTACATGTACCTTTTCCCCATCCTAAGCTTGACCTATCAGCACATGTGCGACGTCGATAGGCCTGTGAGTGTTGCCTTTCTTCCGGGATTGGGGAGTTCGGAGGACTTCCTGATCTACTGGCCGTGGAGATCACTTTAGGCGTCACATAGGATGATGGCACTGTATCATCGCAAAGAACTTCAAATAAACGGCTCCCAAATCGGCGGACGACTCCCATTTCTTCCCAACGTCGAATTTCTTGTGACACACGGTGGAAAGCACCAATGCTCAGTTAAGCCTGTTCGCTCTCCAGACCGAGAGACATACATATACGCCTATGAGGAATAGATCAGCGACAGGTACACGCATAAAGCCAGACACGCACACTACAGCTGCTTTTTTCAAAACCAGTCGCGCACCATCTCACATGGGCATAAGACATAGATGCAGGAAAGGGCGGAGGGAGGAGGGCCAGAAACATGACAGTGCGTGTGTGACTCTTCTATGCGAGTGTCGCATGACTACGTCTGCATACCAGTTCCATAATGTCCGCAGCAATTCCCCTTGCAGAGGACGGGCGGCATAAATCGGGCAGGCTGTCAACATGCAGAGCTGCATCATCGCTCCGTAGGTATGTGGCTCGTGCAAGCTAGGCAACTCCTTTAATCGTTCATTTATTCGCTCTCTAATCAACTAGCCCTTGAACACATGTGTAAGAGTGTGTGTCCGACGACAAACATTCTTCATCTGCTTCTTCGAGACGATCTCGGCGGTTCTCTGTGCACCTGGACAACCATTTTCGGACATGTGGTACATGATCTCGTTTCTCCCTCCCTCTAAGGGGTAGGCACTGGCGAGGCACTCCTGGACTTCAGGGTAGCAGCTTTTTGTTTTGATTGCTCTCCCCGTTATCCCAGCTCCCGGTCCCATGGGCACACAGCATATTTCTCACGTCACAGCCGGCTTGTATTCCAGAGTGGCCCGATCGCAGGATCTCCCTCCATTGTTCAGATGACGCGGGAGGTGATGAGAAGAAAGCCCTCGGCAAGGGTTATGCGCAGGTCGTGCTCCTCATTCCACGTTTTTGCACCTCCCCAAGCCTAGCGCCACCTGTAGAGACCCGAGACTTTTCACGCACGTACAGCCCTGAGACCCGTCTGTTTCGGACATCGAATTCCGTGCAAGGTCTCCGGGGGGGCCACAAAGGTAACAGTTCCTTTCCTGTTTGTCGTTCAACTCGCTGCTGGGCCCCGTCATCGTGCTCGCTTGACTGCAGGATCCGGATCTTCAACGGGAAAATTTTCGCGATCGAATGTATGATGAGCCGGGTGGCTACCGAATGCGTTTTACGTTACCTAACGTCGCATCCCGAACATGAAATGTCCCGTCTATAGGGCCGGGCTTTAGGGATCTGTTTTATCGCTGAGGTCATTCCTTTTCGCTAATACGGAGGGGCAAACACATTGGAATCTCGCTTATTTAGGTCGCACATCAAGATCTGTCATCTTTCTGGGGCATCAAAGCAGATCAAGGGGGCCCTTGGTAAGACCCGGCATGAAGTAGAGAGAGAAGGACAGCGAGCGGCATATTAAAGCTCTCTAGATTGGTATCGACGAGCCGAGGTGCCTTTTCCCAGCTCGTTAGTATTGAGACTGAGTGTTGCTGCTGCTAACTGAGCTACGATATATATGTAAATCTAGTGACTCTATACGCTGATGTAGGAGAATTCATAGTAGTATAGATCCTGAACTATGTAACAATCTGGATCATTGTCGATAGATGCAAGATTGCAAGGAAATGGTCATGAGTTCGGCGATAGATCCGCAAAGAAGTTGATGCTAGATAAACCTATTACTAAGCTACTCAGCTAGATCTCTCTATTTAGATGTTTCATTATCATATATACTAGATATCATGCGCATATTGTGAAGTCCACATGTGGGCGAGTTGCGGCCTTTGCGGAGTTTAGTCAGCCGGCTGCGGACCTCCTGTGCGGACTACCATCGCCCTTATGGGTATGCCGTTCCGGAGCTCACACACCTTACTCTAAGAACGGCTATTCATATGCGCGCGGCATTCCATTCTGGCCCATATCATATGCAACCTAGTTGGTTGGAATTTCTGGGTTGTCTGAATTAGCCAAGTTCCTAAGTTGCCTCGGTCACATCACAACTAATGTCGCTAGGCGGAGAGAGCTCGCGGCAGAGTTGTCATGCCTGTGCGAAGAGCAAACGGCGCTGCGACAAGGCCCTACCAGCTTGTGGTAGATGTGTTAAGCAAAGATATCCTTGCTCTTATGTAGGGCGGGGACAGACCTGGATGACCTTCGCCGACTCGGGAGACTCTTCAGCCCGTCCAGCTGCCGTCCCCGATCCATTCCCAACCATGCTAGGGATTAACTTAGACTTGATGCCTCACACAACATTTCAGCTAAGCAGCGATTTCGACTCCCTCTTAGCATCCGTTCCTGGAAACAGCAGTGTCCCGGCTGGTGCGTGGCCGTATCAATTTACAGAAATTGGAAGCAGTTCGCAGGAGAAGGCATTGGCTCGGAAAGACTACACCAAGATGGCAATAAGATGTGTAGGTATATAATTCCTCTTCAGATTCCACCGACAATTCTGAGCTTGCTGTCATAGGATGATTATGCCCCTTGGCACCTAGCCGACCCATCAACGAAATCCGCATTGACTATGAGTTTTATGAAGAAATTCCACGTAACATTCGCCCACGACAACAGCGTTCCTTACATACATCGCTACCTCTATAAAGACAACATGCCTCGCTGGGTGCTCCAAGCCTACACCGTGTGCTTAATGTATACGAACCAGATTGCCACGAACCGAGCCATGGTCCTCAGGGTGCTTCACAACGACGTGAATGATTTGAAGGCAACAGCTAGTAACGTGACCCTAATGCCCCAGGAGAAACTAGCCCGGGTTCATGCGCTCATGTTTTACCAAACCATCCGCATGTTCGACGGTGATATCACTCTCAGACAGCAAGTTGATGATGATATGGCCCTTCTCGATTCTTGGAACAACGACCTCTGCAAGGTCAAAGATAATCTTGACGATGTTGATGACGCGGGGGGCACTGCTAGCGAACACCAGCCGGAATCCTGGGAGGTTCGTTCGCACTATCTTTTGTCCACTTGCGCCTCTAGTACGTGTTAACAGGAATAATAGCGGTGGATATTCACTGAGAGCCTCAGAAGGACTTGTATAATGTGCATTTGCGTTCAAAAGTTCTGGGAATTGCTGAAGACCCGAACGAAGGCCGGTACGCGGCTTCGTTCTATATCCGCTTGACCTGCCAGCTAATCTGCGACATAGCTGACATTGGCAATATGCGATTCATTCACCGTTGGATGATTTCGCATTTTACTTTCTCGCGCTGTAAGTTGCTGCCACCCCTATAAGACTAGCAGCTGACATGAAGCGATAGCAACTTTGGTGTCGACGAAATCAAGACGTTCTGTTACGAAACCAGTGGCTGTCTCTTGACAATCTAATATGCTGGACAGATACACCGGACAAACTAGAGCAAGTCCCTTGAAGGCTGTGTTGCCCATGTTGGGTTTTGCGCCGAAACATTATACACTCACTAAACAGAGAGAGCATTGTTCAAACTAACCGACAAAGGAACCAACTAAGCAATTGCCTCGCCATTCACTGCAATAGATATTTCAACGATATCGGGCTCTATGCCATATTTCAGAAGAATAAAAGATTAAACAAGAGTAAAAAGAAAATAAAAGAAAAATAAGGAAACTAAAATCAACTATCTTGACACAGATTTGGCAAAAAGGCTGCCTCCACGCGGAATCGAACCGCGGATCTTGTCATAACACCGCAAGTTAAATTCACTGTACGAGTGACACGCATTACCCCTGTGCCATAGAGGCGAGCACGTTAATTTCGGTGGGCGCAACAGCTTATAATCAGACTGCGCCTGCCTTAACGACTCTGGCTGCACATACTCCAGTTACCTATGCTATGTCAGTTTGATCCCATTTTGAATACCTCTTTATCATTTATGAGTGCCATATGTTATTCTTTTCTCTTCTGAACATGATAAAAACTAAAATTTAAGCTTTGAGAGCCCGGGCGCCCGTCGCCTTAAAGGCACTTAGAAAGGACATGATATTAGTGTAGTGACAATACTTCAGTGAAACCGTATTGTGACACATCTCAGGCTATGATTGCATGAGCAATCACATTTCAAGATTGGCTACCTATTCAGCGCAAAAAATTGAAATAAACGCTTACAGTTGAGGTTAATAGTCACGTCTGCAGAGTGCGGGGTCAACAAACCAATCAGCCTCCATTATGAACATTCTATGAGACAGTCTATCTAATAGTACATTTGGATCAGTTTCGTCGTCTTCTCTCATGAGATGTCTGCTATTTTAAAAGCTATACAGTCGGATTCAATGTGCCACATGCCGTACTACTTCTTGGTTCCCACCCGGGAGCTGGCCAGGCTCTCGGAGGGGAAGGCTCGAAATAGGTGGTCTTCTTATTATTCGCATACAGGCCGAGTACGTAAGCGAATCGCCGAGCAGCTGTTGTGAACTAGGTTCGCGAGGCCTGAATTCACCTTAGCGGTAGTCAGCGTAATCTTAGGGGGGTAGGGGTCATGACTCCCTACCCCCTGTAGCAAGTGGCCCAAGTGGTGACGTCCTTGTATGTGCACTTCAAAGTCCATAGTAGATCTCTTCACCTGTTGTAAAAATATACTGTTGGCTAGTCGAAATGGTAGTGTGGCTCGAGCTCATCGTAGCTCTCAGTATTTCGTGTAATGAGTGTATCCTGGATTTCGATAAATGCAACTCGTTTGTCCTCGTTCGTTTGTTTAATGGCACCCTCTAGCAAAAGAGTGCGATGATGGCCTTTGTTCGTCTGAACCGGCAGACAGTGAAAGGCCATGTGATAAGTCAATTTGCCATTTATTGTAATGGGCGATATGCAGCACTTTCATTGAATTTGGTGTATTTATGAGTGAAGTGATGATAGTTATAGCGCTGTTCCTGTGAGAAAGGTGGAGGTGTAGACATTGCAGGTGTTATGTAGGGGCGTACGGTGATCGAGGTAAAGATAATAAGAGTCTTCAGATAAATCTTAGATATCTGAAGTCGTCTCGACCTCACGTATGTAGTCTTCATCTCCGTCATACCGTAGGCTAGTTAACTCATTTTCCAACTTGTATATACGGCATTCGAGTTCTCTCTTGCGGCGCTTATGGTGTTCCGCCGCAAACCTAGCTCTATTAAGATCGGTCAATATCTTTTCCAGAGCTTGCGGCAATGCTTCGAATGCCTCTGTGTTAAATTTGATGCCCCGGGCTGCGCACAACGTTTCCGCGACGGGCAATAGGTTCTGTAGCGTGTTGTTCTCCTTGGCTAGATGTTTCAGCTCCTGATTAAGCTTCCGATTCTCTATTTGAGACTTTTTGTGCAGATCTTGGTAAACACGGTTGACACAAAGATGTTCTGTGTCGGATTGTTGTTGGACACCTCCTGGAGACGGTGGCTCGATTAGTATGGCCGGAACTTCTTTGTCGGCAGACTTCTTAATTCTTTTCTGGCTATTCGTTTCCCAGCTCTCAGGACTGGGAAATGGTAGTAGCCCCTCGTCCCGGGCCTTCACTGGGACAACTTGGCCCTTTCGGCTCCGAGGTGAGATTTCTGTTGATTGTTCGGGTCCTTTGAGAATAGTACGGCCGTCATTATCATTAAATATAACGAACTTTCTATTCTGAGTTTCGGTTTCCTTGTAGCTCCTTGTAGGATGCGAACGTAGTGCCTCCTTTCCCGAACCGAGATTACGAGGGTCAATCACGGGTGGCTTAGGAATTACGGGGAGCGTGACGGCTCCAGACTCTCGTGGGGAAGAATATGAAACCGTCTTAGGAGGATGGGCTGAATGTAGAGTTGATGCTTTTTGTGGCAGCACCGGGTTTCCAATACTGGCGTTATCAGCAAGACGTTGGCCCCAGGTGCCAACAGCCGGTGTTAGCGGTACCCGAGGTGACGATTTAGAATAAGAAGCATTGCTTGCCGGTTTATTACGAACTCCATATTCGTTCTGAACCATTGCGTAATAAAGAGGTAGATATTGATAATTAATTAGTAGTCGCTGTAGCTGTCGGATAATGTGAGTAAAATCGTCGCAAGACTTGCTTGAGTAGTATGGAAGCGTGTGGAAGAGATGAGAGAGAAGTAATAGTGCGGCCTTCTTCTGTTTATAGTCCTAAATGCATTGTTGCTGCAAACAATGCTATAGGCTCTCTGCATCTTCCCGCAGATCAAGCATAGCGTTCCAAACAATCCCTTTGTTACTGAGCCATCAACGCCTAAGGACAAAGACACCATAGAGCTTATGCCACCGGGAGCCATAGCTCACTCTTTACCAACTAATAATGTATTCTTAATCGATGTTCTTAGCTAGACCTCAAAAATGATCTTAGATCTATGAAAGATCCCGTAGGAGAAAGATCTTTTGTTATTGATGGGCCCATCCATTTCGCACACCAGGCCCAAGACCGTCATGTTCCACAGCCGTAGAATCATTCTGGAACGATTGAGGTAACATGGTGTGCCGTTGAGTGGCTGTAGCTCGTGGTTAGTATAATATACCACATCGCAAGGATATCTTAGATAGATTTCGTCACTTCACCTCTTGGCTTGGAAGAAGTGGTTATTAAGCCACTAGCCTCATCTCCTACTCGCCCAACCTTCAACCCCGAACTTATTCGCGCAAGGGGAACAGCCGTGTTGCTGCTACCAAAATGATTTGATGAATAACCACCGAGTGGAGCACGTAAATTCACAGGGTTGCGTGGTGACCTTGGTGTGCCGACAACGAGGCCGGGAATGGTAGACAAGCCGAGGCTCACTGGATCACCAACCCGTTGCCGGTGAGTCGAGGGGGTGATAGGTACGTCGCCTATGTCTTGTAAAAATAATGCATCATGTACAGAATTTGATTAAGCCTACTCACTTTGAGGCCCAAACGTCCGCGGCCAATTACCGACACCGGTTGGTACGTTAGCTTTTACATAGTTATATGCGCCTATTCCTGGTCTACTCTCATGTAAGGAAGCAGGTTGCCTATAGAGAGTGTCTCGAGACTGAAAGTAAGGTATCTCTTGGGACTCGGGCATGTTACTATTGACCGGCGGCACTTGGAGGCTTGATTCGACGGCATCTTCGGCGGCGTCTTGGACCTGACCTAGCATCGCCTTCCTCTTCAGTTTATCGTAAAGTTCTTGGGTCTGAAGAAGTTTCCTGTTTTTCTCTTTGCACGTCTGAAGTAGCTCGTCGTGCTTCTTGCGGAGTTCGTCGCGGTCGAGTTCTGCGCCTGCCTCGAATTAGCAGAGGATGTTTGGAAAGCAGATGCCAAGGAACACTATACTGTTGAGCTTATTATAGCAATTGGCAATTTCGGCGTTCGCATCATTAACGACCTTATCCAGGTGAACATTGAGATTGGAGTATTTCTCGGTGAGCGTCTTGGACATATGCTGCTGAAAGATACTAAGTTGTGCTGTCAGTCCGTTGCCAGGTTCTACATGAGATGAGAATTGAAATACATCTCTTGGGTAACCTGATAAGCCCAGAAGCTGAGGGCTCGGCTTGCACAATCCATGATAACGTTGGGACTTAAGCCACTAAGAACACTTGTCTTGTAGTCTTCGGTTGGTTTGAGGTTGGTAATGACGGCATCATCGGGGTTTGTTAAAAGAGTGCCGCAAGCTGGACAAGCCGTGGGCTGGTCGCGTCTTTGGCTCGCCAACCCGAGGCGAGTTGCACAGTCGCCACAGAATATGTGACTATCGAAAGGGTAGCAGTATTAGTCCACAGGAAACCACCTGAAAAGCCTCATTGCGAGACAACCACACATAATGCAGAGGGTAGAACTTACTAACAAGTCGTTACGAGAGCGCGATCACCGAGCTCCTTACGACACTTAAGCACATTGCATTGTAAAGTATGCTCCATCTTCTTGGACAGGCCTGGATTTCTGGCGTCTACAGGCCTTAGACGCAGGCACCTGACCAGGACCATGGTATGGGGCTGAACATACAATGTAATGAAGAGACGGCAAGGAACCCAAGGCGGTGTTGTTGCAGGAATGAAGGAGACTGAAAGAGAAAGATCTTATTAGATAGCGCACCAGGAATGCACTTACTCAAGAAAGAGCAATTACCTAAATAAGCTGTCCTTATAGACTAACTGCCCGTTGCTCTTTCCATTCACCTGCCCGAATATCCCAATGTGTTCAGCAACTACGAGCACCTTCCATCTCTGAGCCTCACTGCTTCTCTCACTTCTCTCACACATACGCATCGAGTGCTTCGTAATATATACACAACAAAGCGGGTACCTACTATATCCCGATTACTGCCGGTAGTACCGGTGGACGGCAAGTACGATTCAAGCGCACCATGAGAGACGAAACGATATATCTAAATGGCTTGTACTAACGTTCGCATCTTCATGTCGAACATAGCCCTCATACATACATGATCGTCGAAAATCTTGTGGAAATTCCCTACTCTCGAAAAGAATTGACAAATTTCTCTTGACCTGGACCTTAATAGGGAAGTGAAAAGACAGCGAATCTGAAATCTGCTTCGATGAAATGATATAACATGCATCTCACATCGTGTTCTAGTCCTCCTTAACGATATTCTGTAACAATGGTAGTGGGAATTTTACCCTCGGTACATCAAATTATCAGTCATCCCGATGATCATGACTGTGTCCAGCAACGCCAACGCACTTTCGACGAGACATCTCAGCCTGACGAGAAATACAGAGGGACTGCCTATGAAGCTCACTCACGCCGATCCTAGTAGGCTCGCTGATGATCACCAAATATGAGAGAGACGACCGACCGG